TTCTTTCTTTCTTTCTTTCTTTCTTTCTTTCTTTCTTTCTTTCTTTCTTTCTTTCTTTCTTTCTTTCTTCCTTCCTTCCTTCCTTCCTTTCTCTCTGTCTCCCTTGCTTTCCTCCCTCCGCACTCCCTCCCTAATCCTTCCTTCGTCCCTCCCTTCCTTCTCTGCAGCCTTGTCTTCTGCTAAAGTTATTTGAAGCAGAGCAGTTTTCCACCTCCAATAACTGTGAGCAAACTATAGTCTTCAAGGCATTGCTGGTGTACAACTCACAGCACCAGGTACCCAATTATTATAGAGGATGATCATCCACTTCACACAGAAAGACGTTCAGAAATCATCTGAACTTCAGGAGTCACCATGGAAGACAATGACATAATTTAACAACGACTATAGCGTGAACTACTCGCACTCTCCAGTGGAACTTACCCCTCATAGGAGATGGTCAAGCCGGCCACCTCTGCATTTTTGCAACCAGTTGTGAAAAGGGTGAGGAGCAGTAGGTAGCCAAGGAAGGACGAGATCAAGGAAAGCTTGGCTGCCCCCAACATGTTCAGCCTGAACTTCTTCATGAAGAAGCCCCCGGAGAACATCCCAAGAGCTACAGCAGGAATGTTGATGAGACCTACGGTACCCACCACCCCGGAGAAGAAAATGGAGACAGTTATAAACTTATTTTTAGGAACTGCTAGGATTTGACCAAGAAGTGTTTGTTACCTTCTTTTGCCCCATCCTTCAGAACAGTTTATGTATTGAGTATGCTAAATTAATCCTGGTATCCGCTGAGTTAGGACAGACAATGGACATGATTCTGATGTCATAGATCAGGGGTCTCAAACTGAATTTCGTTGAGGGCTGCATCAGGGTTGTGTTTGACCTCAGGTGGGTGGGTGTGGCCAGATTGGTTGTGGCTGGGGTAGGCGGGGCCAATTCAACGTCACTCGTGTCGGAAGCACTTGTGGTGGCCAAGTGCTAAGGCAGGATTTCCCTCAGACCCTCCCTCACTCTCATTATAACTTCCTCCCTCCCTTCCTTCCTCTCCCTTTCTCTTCCTTCCTCCCTTTTCTTCTTTTTCCTTCCCTCTTCCTTCCCCTTCCCTTCTTTTTCCTTCCCTCTTCCTTCTTTCTTCCTTCCTTCCCTTCTTTTTCCTTCCCTCTTCCTTCTCCTTCCTTCCTTCCTTCCCCTCCCTTTCTCTTCCTTCCTNAAATAAATAAATAAATAAATAAATAAATAAATAAATAAATAAATTTCCAGTGTTTAATTTAATACAGCAGAATTCAGTGCCTGAAGGATTCTTTCAATATGTGAACTATTATTAGTTTATAGCACATAAAGGTAAATGTTCCCCTTGCACATGCATGCTAGTCATTCCTGACTCTAGGGGGCGCTACTAATCTCCATTTCAAAGCCGAACAGCCAGAACTCTCTGAAGACGTCGCCGTGGTCATGTGGCTGGCATGGCTAAACGCTGAAGGTGCACGGAACGCTGTTACCAAAGTCGTCCTTATTTTTCTACTTGCATTCTTACATGCTTTTGAACTGCTAGGTTGGCAGAAGCTGGGACAAGTAATGGAGCTCACCCCATTACGCTGTACTAGGGATTTGAACTGCTGAACTGCCAACCTTTCGGATCGACAAGCCCAGCGTCTTAACCACCGTGCCCCCCTTATAGCACATATTTAATATTAATAAAATCAGGAGTAATAGTTTTGGTCATTATTCTGCTTGAAAGAAGAGAACAAAACTATACAGAGGCATGTAAATAAATAGAAAACAGATGCACCTAATAAAGATAACACTTAATACAGTCTTTCACATCCATGTGAAAAATATAGAAATTGAACTGTCTTCTTGTGGCCCGCCAGCAGCCAGTGAAGCTGGCAGTAGATTCGGACAGTGAAGAGGTTGGGGAGGGACATGGGCCAGTCTTGGAGGCTGGGGAAGACTCAGATGAGGGCTCTGTGTCAGAGGCAGAGATGGGGCCAAGGCCGCCTGGCAGTTCTCAGCTGCCTTCGGAGTTAGACAGCAGGGTGGAGCAGAGACGGCCAGTCGTCAGAACTACCGGTTCAGCAAACCAGATTAAAATTAACATCCAGTTTGCCTGAACCAGTTCGAACTGGCTGAAGCCCACCCCTGCCTATATCATTAAAACTCTTTGTGTTTTGCTGCCTTTTTTATTGGGGGAAAAATTCAATGAAATAGGGGACTGGAAAAATACAAAAATCGTGTTGCTCTGAGGTGACGTTATGGGAAAACTTGATATGTGGCTAGTGTGTTTACAGAAAAATCTCCAGCAGTTAAAAATATTCATTACCTGAGAAGCAAAATATATCCTGGAGTTCCTCCAACTGACAAGGTATAGGAAGCGATTACAGATATCACCAAAAAATAGAGAAACATTTTGGAGCATTCTTTTCCTTGTGGACAAGGACCCAAGATTGCTGAAGAATGCCTTGGTGAAGCCTCCGGGAAATCCACACAGCTACAGTCATAAAATATCTGAAACGAAGCAGAAATAAGTACAGTATGGGCTCCTGCCCAGTGCTTAAAGTTGGAGCAAGGTAAAAGGGTTACAATCGAATCAGAAGAAGCTGAAGATGTCTCGCTTAGTGAAAAGAAGGACCAGGGGTGACATGATAGCTGTTCTGACCTAGGCTTCCCCAAACCATGAAGCAAACTCTTTGTCCCGACAAAACCCCTTAAGTTACTGTGAGTTCCTCTCATTCACATCCAGAAGCGAAGACTTTCAAGGGTGGATTTACAGTCACAGACCTTATCTGGCTTGGAGAGCTGCCAGGCCGATATCTTCAAAATGTAACGCTGTACATGAAAGTACTTGGCAAGGAGTCTCTGAGAGTCATGAACCAATGAAGCGAACTAAGTGTCTCCTGCAAACTCCCCTCCCCTTTTGCTCCTCTTTATTCCCTATGGGAGGGGCCATTCACCAGCCACCTGTGGCTTTACTCCCAAGTTGGCCCTTGTTCCTTAACTGTTGCCTTCTTCTCTTGGCAGCGCGTGTGCACACTGGGAACAGGCTCCAACTGTTCTTCTGCCCCACTGATGTCCGACTCTGAAGGCAGCTGATAACTGTCAGATGGCCCTGGCCCCATCTCTGCCTCGGACACAGAGCCTCATCAGAGCCTTCCCCAGATTCCAGGACTGGCCCAGGTTCCTCCCCAACCTCCTCACTGTCCGAATCTGCTGTGCCGGGTGACAACAATTGCAGGGTTTCAGTATCTCAGGGGCTGCCACAAAGAAGAGAGAGTCATCCTATTCTCCAAAGCACCTGAGGTCAGGACAAGAATCAATGGATGGAAACTAATAACCAAGGAGACCTGATCTGATTGTTTCTAGTCTTTGAACCAGGTGAAACAAGAAGGTGTTTACCATGTTTTTCCCGCTTCCATTGGATGTTTTACAACCAGCGAGGCAAGCTGAGATATATGTGATCCCATTTTCTCCACATATAGGATCCCACTCATTTTTGGAACATGCACATCCTGCATTGCACTCTGAAAACAGAGTTTGTTCATAGGAGGAAATTGGCTTATTGCTAGTGGAGAAAAGAGAGAATACTGCAAGATCATTGTAGGTTGTTTCTCAACATTGGCCCAACCCCAGACCACAGTTGGAGCATAATATCATTGGACAGCACCCCAGTGCATCAGCTTTCTGTTAGGAATATAATTCTAACGGTTGGGTTGGCAATATATAAATCATGTAACAATGCTGTACCTGTTTCCTCCTA